GCTACAACTTTAAAAGCACAACTACAATGACGTGGGAAAATACCCGAACAAAGCTGAATGCCACACACACACACACACACACACACACACACACACACAGTGATTCCAGGAAAGGGAAATGTTACTGCAATGCAAAAAGGAAGAAATCAGCAAGATTCTGCTAATTGTTACCAGAAATTCCAAACAAGCTGTAGGAATACAAATACAACCTAACCTGTTTTTGTAATTCTCCGTCCAGATTCCTGGGAGAAGAGCGCAGACCTGCTCCCAGGAATTTGGGGTCAATGCAGGCTATACCCTAAAGAAGTCCCACCTGACCAACGGCTGTTTGGATAAATTTTGCACAGGTAAGTTTTCTGCAACCCTCCTTCAGTCAACCTAAAGCAAACAGCCAACACAACCCGCTAGGCCACCAAATTGTGAATCAACTCGTGTTTAACTAAATATACTCCATTTATACGCAGCCAACTCCAGCTGACTCTATTCTGCTCTTTTATATCTATTTATATTCTGCCCAAACAGCTCTCCGGCTAAGAACCTTAATTGCATGTTTTTACAATATAACAATAAATAATTCTGAGAACCTTTTGCGCGCTGCGAAAATAGATGCTTTTGTCAGCTCCACAGCTAATCATCTGAACGCAGTTATTTCCTATTGAGCGGGGAAAGAAAAACGGATGGAGAAAAGAAGGCCAAGCAGATCAGCCTTCTCACGTTCACGTAATTTATCTTTCATAATATCAAAGATATTATAATTGTATAATAATTTGGGTTTTTAGAGTTATGCTTTTAATCTTTTTTTATTTATGCTTCATCCCTAAAACAAAGCCCAGTTTTTCCATCCTGCAGGAGATCCAGGCTTCATGTTCCTGAGACCGTTTGTTCTGACCCAGACTTCGTCAAACGTACTTAAAACACAAACTTGTTTTAAAAGCAAAACCTATTTTATTGCAACGCTGGGAATTACTTGCCTTCCCAGCCAGAACTAATTATAAGCAATTCCCCAAGATAAGTACATGCCTTTCGGTGCTGGGGGATGTTGCCAAAAGCAGAAGTCTCCTATTGTAACAGAAACCAACTGAAGTACCAGAAAAACATCCAGAGCTGCAAGGAGGACTCGGAATCTATCGAACGACTTTGCTTCCTGCAATGGTTTCGTCACTGAGGTCTGACTTTTATCCCTTATGGGAGGGGCAATTACCTCCCAGCCTTACTCCTGAGTCTTAGCTTTACCCCCTTGGTCTCAGCTGCTCTCGCCTTCGAGCAGCTCTGCACATACACGCACTGGGAACAGGCTCCCCTTGTTCCTCTTCCTCACTGCTGCCAGATTCTGGAGGCTCCGGAGGCAGCACCCCCACTCCCAGATGGTCCTGGCCCCATCCCTGCATCAGACGCAGGACCCTCGTCCAAGTCCTCCCCAGACTCCCGGACTGGTCCCCGTTCTTCCCCACTGTCCGACTCCCCTGCCATCTGCACCGGCTGCCGATGAACCACCACACCCCTAAGCCAACATAGTTTGAGAAAGGCTGAAAGATGGTCAGAAGGATTTGAAGAAACGGGTTTTCACAGGGCTCTGTACCGAGTGGTCTGGAGCCGAGCAGTTTCCCGGGAAAGGTATTTGTGCCGGCTCACCAGTGAACTTGACTGCCGTTATAGCCGAGGAATGGTCATCCAAAGTCTGCTCTAGTTTATAATCGCTTCCCACGTTCAGTACGTGAATCAGCCGATCGCGACTCGCTGAAGCCAAGAGCGCCAGGCCTGCGGACAGAGGTGGGGGGGGAGAGCCCTTTGAGTTGCAAAGGGGGTCAAAGCTGCTCCCGAAAAATCCCACGAACTGCTATGACAGAATTGTTGTTCGGATACCTTGGGCAGCAGGGTGGGTGTTTCTGGGTGGGTGTCATGGGTGGGTCCGTACACACAACACGTGGGTGTCCAATCTTTCGGCTTGCCTGGGCCACACTGAGTGAGGAGGCCGCATGCAAAATGCAGGGAGGCCTTGATTGCAACAGTTCATTTAGTGACCGTTGGAAGTTAAGATGGCACTGAAAAAAGGGGCGGGATTCCAAAATCCCAGCAACTGGGCAGCAAACCGGTTGCTGGGTGGGCGTGGCCAGGGTGGGCGTGGCCGACCGGAACTTCCTGTTTCCAGCTTTCGGTGGGCTTCTAGAGCCCGGGGGAGGCCGTTTTCAGTCTGTCAAGGGTCCAGAGGCCTCCCCCGGGCCTCTGGGGGGGCAAAAACAGCCCCCCCCCCCGGACTCTGGAGGCCCTCTGGAAGCTGGAAACAGGCCCATTTGCGGACTTCCAGAAGCCCAGTTTTCCCCCCTCCCAGAGCCTCTGCACGGACCCTGCACTTACCTCCATCGAAAATGGGCCACTCCTGAGGAGGGGAGGGGCGGGACCAGCCAGTCGGTTGAAATACCGTTCCGGTGAACCAGCTGTAACTTTAATGTCCGGTTCGCTCGAACTGGTCCGAACCAGTCAAATCCCACCCCTGCTTAGGACCGAGTTACAATTTTTGCAGCATCCCCATGGACGTGGGATCAAAATCCAGACGAATGGCAAACCGACTCATATTGATGATGGTCGTTGTGTCCCAGGGTCATGCGATCCACTTTTGTGACCTTCTGACAAGCAGAGTCAACGGGGAAGCCAGATTCGCTTAACGACTGTTATACTCACTTAAGATCTGCAGGGATTCACTTAACAACCGAGGAAAGAACGGTCGTAAAATGAGGCAAACCTCACTTAAGAAATGTCTCATTTAACAACAGAAATTTTGGGCTCAATTGTAAGTGGAGGACCACCTGCACCTAATATAGTGAAAGTATATAAATCACATAGTGTTAAAGGTTTAGGATCTAGTGGGGCTGCCTTACTAGCTGTTCAGGACAGCCTGCAGCCCGCAAGTCGCAGATTGGAACAGGCCTGACATAAAAAGCATTAAAATTTCAGCTGCACACATTTCCAAATTTAAAAAGCAACCTGTTTCTGGCTTGGAATATTCTAAGCAGAGGACTTCCGAATCGTGGGCTTCAAATTTCATCACTTCCGCCATGAATTTTAGCTCATGTATCCTGTAAGAGAAAAAGACAATTTAAAAAAAAAAACAGTTTGAAACTAGCTTATTGGAATCCAAGTTTTAAAGTTGCCAAGTTTGGAGACCTCTGGATTAGCCAACGTCCTGCCCAGCTGTGAGTGCCAGGCTTAAGTTTTATCCCAACGTGGAAGGGACGCAGAAGCGTTAAGTGGATGCTGCTGCAGACAGACGTCCGCCGGGGAAGGAACAATGCCGATCCCAGACCCACCTCAGATTCCCGGTTCTGTCCCCAGAAGCCAAGTGCTGGCCATCAGGGCTGATCTGCATCACTCGGACGCCGGATTTTACATCCAGGTAGCCGACGTTGTCGTTTCGGTCCGGCAAATTAGTTGCATCTTGCAAAAACTGAGTGCCCTTTTCCATGTACACCACCTTCAGCAAGTTCTTTAGGGAGGAAAGAGTGCGTCATGCCACTTCAAGAGAGACAGTTTCAAAGGAAATTAAGGAGGAGAGGTTTTTAATTCTGTTCAGCCCTTGAAATACACACTCAGCCTCGTCAGTGGAGGGGGGGGGAGCCGATCTTACGACCGCCTTGCGAGAAAGGTGAGAAACTTACGTCGCTGTAGACGTTCTTCTTGAAAGGTCCATGCGTGCTGTTTTCCAAGTTCCAAAACCGTATAGTGCTGTCTGAGGAACACGTTAGAAAGGACCCTGCAGGCAAACAGCCTTGATGGCCTTCAAACTCAGGATACACCTAAGATGGAGCCCGCAAGAGACAAGTGAGAATATCAACACCGATCCTCTTTAAACTCAGGCTAAACCCAAGATGAAGCCCAGGTAAATCGTTTGGTGTAAATTCTTTGGAAGGAACTGAAACTGGAGAAGGGATATTGCAAAAATCACCAAAGACAGGTGGGAACATCAACCCCGATGATCTTCAAACTCAGGATAAACCGAACATGGAGCTACAAGAAGGCGAGCGGGAGTATTAACACTCCAGAGAGAGACTCACGGGGACCTACTTCTTTCCATCCCTGCTGACCCAACCATCCTTGTCACAGAATCAGTGGGGGCTGAGCTCTGAAGACAAGGTGTCAACTCGTTGAGGGTTCCTATGCCTGTTTTTGAATTACCATAAGCAGGTGGGGGGGGGGAACCTGAAGGAGCAGTACGGCGATTAAAACCAGAAGTACATCCCAGGCTTATCTTACAAGGATTGTAGCCGAGGCTACCGGATCTTCTGCCCTCAAAAATCCTTCATGGGAGAATCTGATTTATGACATACCCGAGGGGGAAAACAGAGTCACAGGTGACCCTGAATTGTGCGTGGCAGAGTTGGCTTCATATGGGTCAATGCCGACATGTTGCTCCTCATAAATCTTTTGGATTCTTTTGAAGCTTGGCTCGAGGCTCATGATTTAATTCGGGCAATCGCCGGAACCCTGACAGCAGGGAGACCCGCTCAGGGAGCAGAGGACCTCCCATCCAACTCAGAGAGACCTTCCAGGGAGGCCACCCAGGATCTTAGCAAGGGACTTCCAGGAGGTACTTTGTTCCTGGTGTCCTCCTGCTTTCCCAACCAAAGGAGCCCTTTACCTCCACGTCCCAGACAAAGGAGCTGTGGAAGAGGTCAGACCACACTTTCCTGACGTGGCCAATGTCCCTCACATCCCAAATGTACACGCTGTGATCCTTGTACACACAGGAGAGCCAGTGACGTCGAGGGTCGAAGACGACAGCAATAGCATCTGGAGAGGAGGCATCTGGCTTTCTGGAAAACACCAAAGACGGGCAGGAAAGGGGTGGGAAGCACAAGAGAATCCGATGCGCTGCATTATGCGTTATAGCTTCCACAAAACCTGAGCTGCTCTGGCTGAAAATAAAGGCCGCTGGTTCTGGAAAGATGAGCCTTCCCAAAGAATCAAGAAGCCCATATCTGGCACTTTTACAAAGGCAGGATTTGTAGCTAGGAAAAATCAATGTTTGGGGGAGCCGGTATGGTCTTGTGGTTAAGGAGGCTGGGAGTTCTAGTCCCACCTTAGGTGTGAAAGCTGACTGGATGACTTTGGGCCAATCACCAGGAGGCTGGGAGTTCTAGTCCCGCTTTAGATCTGAAAGCCAGCTGAGTGACTTTGGGCCAATCACCAGGAGGCTGGGAG